GACCTTTAGTTAAAAAGAATTGACTTTAGAATGGAAGAGACTTAGATTGAGAACAGAATTAATTTTTTTAGAAATAATGAAATGTAATATACTAATTAATATTCGCAAGTCAATGAAGTACACATACAAGTTAATCACATCTTCATGTGTCAAGTATTTAAAATGATACATAAATTTATAATATAATGTGCATTGTGCTCAATATCTCCTAAGGAAGTAGTATTCTGACTCTTAGTTTATCAGTATAAATATTTGCATTCAAAGTGCATGTAAGATATAAACTAGCCTGAACAACTTTAACTGTTAAACTTCAATAAAAAAAAAAAAAAAAAAGGGGTTACATGAGCTCATTGAATGCAAGTATTGTGTGCAAGTGCACAAAGCAAGTTAATTGCAGGGGTCAAATATACGAAAATGGATTTGCTTCTACACCACAATGCTTGACCCTTGTAAATGGGCAGAGCAGGTCAAACACTGGTTAATCCTACTTCACTTCAAGATTCAAATATATATGTGCCTCAGTTTAGAATATATCTATTGGTTTAAAATTAGTAGTTAGTAGTTGCATTAATTTAAAGGTTGGTTATCATTATTATTAATAATTCAAATTGTTAGTTTTAAACTGTTCTATATAACATTTCTACAGATATTAAATCATCATTGACCATTGGATAGGAGAGGGAAATGAGAGAAAAATATTTTGTCGCATTAAATTAAGATATTGAACCTAAACTGCCATTTCCAGGAGTATGTTTGATTTAAAACAAATAAGTTTTTGCAATGGTTAAGAAAATGTGTGATTGATGGGTTGCATTACATACAAGACCCATCCCTGTATATAACGTTGGCCGATCCACAAATTTATTGGGCCGACCGGCATGTCATATTGAGATTCCAGAAAATAAAATCCACTAGCCCATAACTAAAATTAGCAAGAAGCCGCGCCGCAAAACCGCAAGAGGCAATCACGAACCTTTTGAAATTCAGACAAAATTGATGGGATGTTTTGGGCTGCGGGTGAGGAGAAGTAGAAAATTTTTTTATTTGGTTATTAAAAAAATTTAAAAATGGACGAAATTTTATTTTATTTTAAATTTATTTATTTATTCAAATTAAAATTAAAAACAAAAGAGAAAAGAATGAAAAAAAATATAATTTTTCTCTTTTTCTTTTTCCTCTATTTTCTTTAACTGAAACATAGAGAGAAGGTTTGCGGGGAGGAGGTTTTGGCCAATGATGTAAGTGTAAAGTAATCAAAATGTATTAAAAAATATCAATTTTATTTGACTTTTTATGAAAATTTTATTAATTTTAATTATTAAAAATAATTAATAAATAATAAAATAATTTATATTTATTATTTAATAAATTAAAATTAATATAAATTAATATTTTTAAATATAACAATCATATATAAGTCAAATTAAACACAAAGTTAATAAATTTAACAATTTTATTTGTGAGCTTAAGGTGTACTAACTTTTATAATTACAAAAAAAAAAATTAACTAAAGTATATAGGTAGTATTTGTATAAAAATTAATATTAATTTTTTATATATATATAAATTAATTACTAAAAATGTTTCTCATCCATGTTCAAAAAAAAAATACTAAAAATGTATTGAACTTGGCTCATAGGTCGAGTCGCTTCCGTCACTCTGCCCCTCCCTCCGGGCAACAGTCAGTCCGACCCATGGCACTTGTTGAAAAAAAAAATACTTAAAATGTATTAATTACAATAATAAAATAATAAAGTGGAAATTACGTAATTAACTTGTTCATCTTCATCCGAATGCTATCGATCGGATTGTCTCAGCTCTCAGGTATATCTGTTCGGTTGGGTCTTCGGAGGAGTGAGACTCCTTTTGAATCCACTTCCTGGTTAAGCAAACCTGCGGAGTGAAAGCGCCGTCGATCATACTTACGACGCCCCGTTTATGTTGCGCAGATTGGCTGCTGTGATTGTGTCATTTCGTCTTCCGTAGCATGGATTCTCCTTCTCAATCCCCGCCGGCGATCGATGCCAACTATGGAATCGTCAGGGTATGCTCTTCTTACCAATCTCGGATTCACTCTGCTTTCGTTTTTGTCTCGGTTGCTTTTCTTGATTAAGTTTGTTGTGTTAGCTGCAATCAGCTTTTGCTTTGGATTCAGTATTCATAGAGAAAGAAGTACCGAAATATCAAAATTTTTGTTCTGCCCATGAGTAGTATTGTAGAAAAAAGAGAAAATTTTGTATTTTTCATATTGTTTTTAGTCTAGAGGTTTTTCTATCGTCTCAAGGACATGTTTTGATTGGGTAAGCAGAAGAAAGTCTAAATTTTTCACGTTGCTTGTAGTGACAAAATTAATTCTTTTTATATTTTGATTTGTATGAGCCATGATGCTTGTTGCATTTCTTTATGGGAGTATCCAAGTGTCAAGGGAATTTAATTGTTTATTTGATCCTACTTTGTTGTAAATATAACCGAGGCCGAATGTTGATTGATATCTAATGCCAATGTGGTTTTCTTTTTTTTTTTTCTTTTTTTTCTTTTTTATAACCAGAGGCTAGCTGCTATTGGAGTTCCTGAGGAGAACCTTGGTAATCTTTATGAGGGTTTAGTTGATTTTGTTATGGATAATCGATCTTGGATACCAAAGGTGGTCTCTACTATCTTACCTTCCAAGGAGGAGGTCAAAGAGTTCATTAAAAATGAGAAGAGGTCTGGAAAAGTAACCACTGGCCCAGGTATGAAGAAGCAATTTCATGTGAGTATGCTTTGGTTACAATGGTTGATGTTTGAGGGTGATCCATCTGATGCTTTGAAGAACCTAGCTAAAATGAGTGTGGATCAGCAAGGTGTTTGCGGGGCTGTCTTGGTAAGTAATAATATTGCATACAAGTGCCAAACATGTTTATGTGATCCTACTTGTGCAATTTGTCTTCCTTGTTTTCATAATGGGAACCACAAGGACCATGATTATTCTATCATTCACACAGCTGGTGGTTGCTGTGATTGTGGAGATGAGACAGCTTTGAAACGTGAGGGCTTCTGCTCAAAACACAAAGGTGCCGAACAGATTCACCCCCTTCCAGAGAATTTAGCAAATTCTGTGGGGCCTGTCCTTGATTCCCTCTTTATTTGTTGGAAAAATGAGCTATTGTCTGGGGAAACTATCTTGAAGGAAAATCAGAGAACAAATCACCATCATATTGCTTGTACAGAAATTGCAAATAACCTCACTTTTTTCATGGGTGAAATGCTTTTAGAATTTTGTAAGCACAGTGAGAGTTTGCTCAGTTTCATTTCTGGGAAGGTGATATCTTTAGTTGGTTTGTTGGAGATTCTTGTCAGGGCAGAGAGGTTCTTGAACAAAGTTGTTGTGAAGAAACTCCATGAGCTGCTTTTCAAATTGCTAGGACATCCTGTATTCAAATATGAGTTTGCTAAAGTGTTTTTAAGATATTACCCCATTGTTATAAAGGATGCCATTAAGGAGGGTGACATCTGCATTAAAATGAAGTGCCCACTTCTATCAAGATTCTATATTCAAATCTTCACAGTGCCAATTTTAACACTGCATCTTGTAAAGGAGATGAATCTACTGACCATGCTGTTTGGATGTTTGGGAGAGATTTTCATTTCTTGTGCTGGGGAAGATGGTCATTTAGAGGTAACCCCCTTTTCTTTTTCCCAACTTTTGTGAGTGCCATGTTACAATATCAGCATATTAGTCTGCTCCATGGCCTGGCTTCATGATGGGCTGCCTAATTGACTGCATATTTACCACCATAAAACTTGAATTGATAGCTTTGTTAGTCCTTAATTACCTGCTTGCATGCTGACTATGAACTCATGTTGAAGTGGCTCAGTTTTCTTTGTAAGGCACTGTTGTCAGGCCTTTGGTGAAACTTTCTGTGATCTCTACAGTGATTATATGCAGTTTTGAAACATTTAATTTCGGCAAGAATGATTAAAAGTAACCAAAACTGCTGAATTAGAAATAATTGTTGAATCTCTAAGCATTATAACCTGATTCTTAACAGACATTTTCTTTTCATTGATTTGGCATTTCAGTATTTTTTTTTTTTTTCTTTAATGAAAATGTTCGTTGGTTTATCTCAGGCAATTCCTTGAGTGAAATCAGAATTCTGATAACTAAAAAGAGAAAAGTTCAAAAGGACAAAGAGAAACAAGGTTTAGGAATATTTTATAGTTAATTTGTGCAGTTCATCAATTTGAACTGTTGCCTCTGTTAGGGCATTTTGCTTATGACACCTTTTTTCTGAGACTACCTCTGTCTGTGTCCAGGCAGGCTCACATGTCATGCAAATCTTCCTGTTTTGATTTATTTCTAGTGTGTGGGGAACTTTGATTTTCTTGTTCAGATTGTGGTTTCTATTGCTCTAGTGAATTTAATGCAGGGATGCTGTGTGTCTGGTGTATCACCAAGTGAGCTGGTTTTCTTTTCTTTTCTTTTCATTGCATACCGAATGCCTTAATTACATAACACTAATTCCAGGACAGATTGCTTGCTCTGAAACCATTGTTCATATGATTGCCAAAAGTCTTGAAACTAGAGGTAGTTGGGTGCTCCAAACCCATTGCTTAACAGTTCTAGCTTTTAGGGATGTTTATCAATTTAGCGTGGTAACTTTTGTTTGGTGTTTACTGTTTCGATTCTTAGGCATCTTGCCTGACTTTCGATTGTTAGATACAATTTATTTGGTATGCCAACTGACAGTCTGGAGAATCTTACCATTCTTGTTTATTTATTAGTTCATGTTAGAAGACATAATCATGACTAAAACAAATATTATGTCTGAAATTGAAGATTTAAATTATTTCTATGATAGAATGATTCTCTATAATGAAGCAGTTTTATACAAGGCAGACTACAAATTTATATAAAACCGAATTTGCAGAATTTGCAAAATTTGCACTTGTTATATTGTTCCAGTACAAGGCAATTATTTTCTTTGAATTTAACTAAAGCATTCAAGCTTAATATCTGCACATTTTGAATTATAGTTGTGACTTATGATAGCACCTGAAACTCAAAAACATTCAGATTTTTCATGACTCACATACATTTTGGGCAGGTAAAAATACAGTGAAAATAACACACAAACACACACATATATATATTTAAAAAAAAAAAGAAGAAGGTTTGAAGTTTTGACATGTTTGATATTTTTCAGGTCACAAAGTGGGGAAATGTTTCTGAGACTTCTCTTCATGTTCTTAAAGATGTTCGGCTTATTTTGAGCAATGACAAAGCATCTAAATATGCTATATGTGACAATCGAGATATATCTAGAACTTGGATGAAGTTCTTGGCTTTTTTGCAAGGAATGAACCCTGTAAAGAGGGAAACTGGCATCCATATAAAAGAAGAAAGTAGGCATATGCATTTGTTGTTTCCTTTGAGTGATGTAGCTGCCAGCATATATTCTCATCTAGTAAATCAAGCATTTTTTGTAGCCAGTGGTGAGGAGATGAATGCTATTCCAAATATGCATAAACAAGATCCAAATAATGGAGACAGCTTAAGAAATGCAA